TGTTCAGTACAAATAGCCACTAGCCACATGTGACTATTGATCACTTGAAACGTGGCTACTGCAACTGAGAAACTGAATTTTAAATTTTATTTCATTTTAAAATAAAATGTGTGGCTAGTGGCTAGCATAATAGAGCAGCTCTATACAACATTGTGAAAATCAGTTGAAGGAGAAATAGAAGTGTCTTATGTCTGTATTACTTGTGCTTTATTTTATAATATTTCACTTTCCAAAAGTGCGTGCTTTCCTCTTTCATCTTTCTTCATCTTTACCTCTTTTCATTATTTACGTCTAGAAATTTAAGACCCAATTCAACAACTCATCTTCTCCAGAAGCATTCCTCAGTTGGTCCCAATCTACATGCCTTCCACTTCTCTGAAACTTTCATTGAACATACGGTCAACATTATACTATTTAGTACTTAATATTCCTCTAACCTATCTTTTATGATAGTTGTAACTTCCCAAGAACACAATATCAGGATCTGTGTGGGTCTTTTTTTAATTCTATGTCCTCTTCCAAAACCAATTACACCATTATTTAGAATACTGTAAATACTGTTTGTCTCCCCAAAATTCCTATTTTAAAATCTAATTCCCAGTATGATGGTATTTGGAAGTGGGGACCTTCGTAGGTAATTCGGTCATGAGGGCGGAGCCATCATGAATGGAATTATGCCCTTAAAAGAAGATGCCAGAGTCCTCTCTTGTTCTTCTTTCACCATGTGGGGAAACAGTGAGAAGCTGGCAGTTTGTAACTGGAAGAGAGCTCGACCATGCTGGCACTCTGATCTTAGTAATTCTAGGCTCCAGAACTGTGAGAAATAAATTTCTGTTGTTTATATACCACCCAGTCTATGGTTCTTTGTTATAGCAGCCTAAACAAACACACAAATTTACCCTGTGGTTGGGCCGAGCCCATGGCGCACTCGGGAGAGTGCGGCGCTGAGAGTGCGGCGCTGAGAGCGCAGCAGCGCTCTCGCCGCGGGTTCAGATCCTATATGGGGGTGACCGGTGCGC